ATGATAATCTCTTTGTTTCTTCTTGTAAGGATCTTTCTGATTTGCCTTGTACTCAGAGTAATTGTTTTGAAGATAATGATATGCTGTGTATTCACTGTTTTTCTCTTATCATTTTGTGATGAAATTTTGGTTTTTCATAAAAGAAAAAAAAGTTTTCTGGCATGAAGTGGCTCCCCAAAGCCTCATGTGTTGGGGTCATGCTGGATTAGTCTGCTGATGTGTTTATAGCTAACTTGCTGTTAGAAAGTGAGGCCCGGCGTGACCCGGAAGGGTGCCTCTCCTCCAAGGCTGCGCCTGCGCTCTCGGCTTCCTGACCACCATGACGTGAGTGGCTGTCCTCCGCCAGCCCCCTCTGTCATACTATTTCTACACTGGAGTTGGTGACTATGGACTAAACTCCGAGCCAAAGCAAGCTTCTCTTCAAAGTTGTGGGTGACAGATACTATGTTTCAGAGTTGAGGAAAGTGACTAAGAGAAAAACTTTTTTCTTTTCTTTTTTTATGAAGACAGGGTCTTGCTATGCACTTCAGGCTGGCCTTGAGCTCACTTTGTAGCCCTGGCTGGTTTAGCCAGAGTAACCTCCTTTTTTGCACTATCTTCAAAACCTTTGGTGGTATAGGAATACCCTTGCCTTTTCTGAATCCTTAGAGAGGACCTTCAAAGAAAATGTAGCTCTCCTGGATTTCTTTGACTCAAAATACTTTGGTCAGTTGAGTAAGTCATGTTATGTCTATAATCCCAGCCCTCTAGGAGGCTGAGGCAGAAAGATCACAAGTTTGAGACCAGCCTGGGCAATAAGAAAGTTATTAAAACCCTATCTCAGAATAAAAAGGGACAAGGATGTAGCCAGAGGCAATGGCTCTGGGTTGAACCCCTGATACCACAAAAACCACCAAGATAGCAACAACAACAAAATCATGGGTCATCTGGACCATCTTTGCTAACTTCCCTAAGAGTGTTGCTAAACTTTCCTTTTCTGAGTTGAATGACAATTTTTTTCTGTCAAATGTCATTTGGGTAGATGCATCACAGACTAAGAATTACATTTTTAAAGAACATCAATCCATGGCTGAGGGTGGCAGTAGAGCAAGTGCTTAGCACACCAAGGCTAAGACCCCCAGCACCACCCTTCCCCCAAGACATCCACTGACTGCAGAAATTGTTCCTTAATTTGTTCCTAAAATTTGTGACAGTGTGTGATACTTCCTAGTGTATAGCCCAGGGTTTACTGTGTTTTCAAGCTTGTTGTTAGAAAAGAGCTCAAGCACTGTCTACTTTTTAATAATTAGGAGATCTTCAATAAATCTGTACATAAGCATGTATTTTAAACCAAGTTCTGAGATTCCTTGCCTTTCCTGTCCTGACGCTGAGCAGGAGTATTTTAATGTGCAGAGTTTAAAGTTCACATTTATTTTTCTCTTCCCCCCTTTGTAACTCCATAGTCTCTTTCCTATCTTTATAGTGCAGAATGACCAATTCCTGGAAGAGCACAACAATAATAGTAATATAATCACACATTTTCTAAAACCTTTCCCTTTTTCTTTCTCCTATGTCAAATGGTTTGGGTCTTCCATAGGTTCTTCCACCTGTACTAATTCTGTAGCCCCCATGCTGTGGTACAAAGTCCTAATTCCAACCAAAGTGGTTCAGAACCTTCCTCATTCATCATCTCAAACTTCTGCTGAAGTAGCTGTTTCTTATCCAACTCCTAATGAAAGAAATCCATTGGGGATATTATCCCAGCTATAATGCCCAGCTACTCAAATACTACTGATGGGCTCAGGGTACCTATAATTTAATGAACTTGCTGTACCACCCTGGGAGCACTCAGTAATGAAACATGGCCATGCTACCTAATGGCCTAAGCTTTGTTTAGGACTACAGCCTTACAGCAAATGTAATATCAGTTATCGGAGGAGGACAGGAAAAACAAGCCTCAAAACAAGGAGGAAGAAGGTGCCACTGAACAATCACATAACAGAAAACAACAATTTGGCTCTCTTTCCTAATTTCTGTAAGGATTTCTCAAAATACAGAACTTGTCTTTCATTAGGAAACAGAAACCATGCAGTATTAACTTTAAGTAAAGACTATAAATAAAAACATGTTCCCAGGGGGTCAGGGAGATGGCTCAGTAGAATAAGCGCTTCCCTGGCAAGCACAAGGGTCTAAGTTCAATCCCTGGTTCCGCAAAAAAAAAATAAAAATAAAAATAAATAAAAAAATAAAAAAATAAAAAAATAAAAAAAAAAAACATGCTCCCTATGCAAAGCATTTACAGTGTTTCATAGTACATTACCTGGAAAAATAACCTGAAAAACTTGTGAAGGGTCTGTGTTGTCTGAGTTATAAATGAACTGAGAAAGGATTTAAAGGGAGGCATATGGGCTTGGGAAAGAGACAGCATCTAGGCTGGGGCTCCAAGTTATAGGACTTCAGCAGGTAGGGGTGCAGTCAAAGGTTACGTGTGCAGTGAACAGATACTAGCTCTGTCAGGGACCCCCAAGTGATAACAAGGACAGATGGAGGGGCAGAACACAGGAAAGCAGGTCTGCCAAAGCAACAAATTCCAGCCGCTCAAACATTGCTAGTAAAGTCTCTAGAAGATAAGCAGTGTAGGATAAAGAATAAAAACTACAAAAGGTGAGTGCAAGCCTATAACAAAGAAGAAGATTCAACAGTTAAAGGTGCTAAAACCTGATTTAGATCTCAGTGTATCTGTACGAAGAGCAAATACCTACAGCACCGACTACTCACTATATACCAGTGAGACAGACATAAGGGGAAACACTGTAGAAACTTCTGTCAGGGCTATATACGCTGATACTAACCCTCACTGAACATGTGCTAGAAGCATGCACAGTTGGAATTAATCCACATAATACTACAGCGACTAGCAGGCTTTATCAACTCCATTACGCATGAGCAAACCAGGGCTCAGAGAATAACCTGAGCCCCTGTGTACTTCAGCTGGGCAGTGCAGCCAGAATTTGGTGACATCTACTCCTATGCAGTAGCTGTGCACCTCCCCTCATACCAGTCTAGAACGGTTCCTAGTTTAAAAGAGACTAAGTGGGCTGGGAAGATAGCTCAGTGGCTTCAGTGCCTGCCTGGCAAGCGCAAGGTCCTGAGTTCAATCCCCAATACCAAAATAAATAAATAAATAAAT